CGGGGCCGGGCGAGCCGGGCGTGTCCGGGGGCGGCCGCAGCGGGAAGAAGAAGGGGCACTGGTGGATGAAGAGTTCGATGATTGTCTGGTAGGTCCTGGTGGCCGTCAGCGCGTCCATCGTGCTGAAGTCCGGCCGCATCAGCGTGGGCCAGAAGCAGATGGACAGGTTCTCGCTGGTCATCAGGTTGACGCGGTGCTGCTGGCTGACCCTGGGGTGGACACGGGCCGAGTGACCACCTGAGGGTCAGCGGAACCCAAAAAATCCCCAAACTGCAAAAATTCCCATCAAAATTGACCCAGAAATGACCCCAAACGACCCAGAAATGACCCAAAAGTGACCTCAGGACAGGTTCTCACTGACCATCGGGCTCACCCTGGGGTGGACAATGCCAGAGTGACCACTCAGGGGTCAGCGGAACCCAAAAAATCCCAAAATTGCAAAAATTCCCATCAAAATTGACCCAAAATGACCCAAAAATGACCCAAAAGAGACCCCAAACCCCCAGGACGGGGTCTCAGGGGTCAGCAGATCCCAAAAAACACCAAAAAATCCCAAAATTGCAAAAATTCCCATCAAAAACGACCCAGAAACAACCCAAAAAATCCCTGGAAAAATCTCCCCAAATTCTCCTGAAAGAATTCCCTGAAAACCCTCCCAGAATTCCAAGAAAAATCCAAAATAATCCCTAAAAAATCGCAAAATAATCACTAAAAAAATCCCCAAAAATCGCAGAATAATCCCTAAAAAATCCCCCAAAAATCACAAAATAATCACTAAAAAAAAATCCCCAAAAATCGTAAAATAATGGCTAAAAAAATCCCCAAAAAATCACAGAAAATTCCCAAAAATTCCCAAAAATTCTCCCCAAAAAAACCCTGGAAAATTCTCCTGAAAAAATTCCCTGAAAACCCTCCTGGAATTCCAAAAACAAATCGCAAAATAATCCCTAAAAAATCCCCAAAAATCTTGAAATAATGGCTAAAAAAACCCCCCAAAATTGCAGAAAATTCCCAGAAATTCCCCGGAATTCCCAGAATTCCCGGAATTGCGGGATTTTGGGAATGCTCACCTGTTGAGGTGCGCGATGACGTATTTGAAGACCTCGTAGTTTTCCCGTGGGAATTTCCTCAGGACGTCCCGGAGCGCGTGGAGCTTCTGCTCCCGGTCGTTGATCTCTGGGAACGGGGGGAAAACAGCGGGAATTCCGGGTGAAAAACGGGAAAAAACGGGAAAAAACCGGGAAATTCGGGGTTTGGAATGGGAAAAATGGGAGAATTCCGGGTGAAAATGGGAAAAAAATGGGAATTTTGAGGTGAAAAACGGGAATGGTTTGGGGATTAATTAGCAAGAAATTAATGAGGAATTAACGAGCAAATCCAGGACGGATTTTGGGATCTCTCCGGCCCCAAAACAACCCCGGGAATGGGCTGGGAATTAATGAGGAATTAATGGGAATTAACCAGGAATTAATGAGGAATTAACGAAGAATTCCTGAGGAATTAAAAAAGAATCCATGAGGAATTAATGAGAAATTAACGAGGAATTAATGAGAAATTCCCGAGGAATTAACGAGGAATCCTGGGCACCAATCAAAGCCCCAAATTAACCACGGGAAAAATGCGGAATTCCAGCGGGAATTCCGGGAATTTTGGGGAATTCCAGACTCACTGCGAGCCTCCACCATCGAGTGCCCAGATTAACCCCGGGAATTTTGGGAATTCCGGGAATTTTGGGAATTCGGGACTCACTGTGGGCCTCCACCAGCTCCAGCTGCATCGAGTACGGCACCAGCGGCTCCGGGAGCTCCGAGAAGAAACTTTTCATGGCTCCGGCCACGGCGTTGACGGTGAAATCCTTCTCGGCCAGGTCCAGCCCGTGGTCTGCGGGGAATGCGGGAGAAATCCAGGGAATTCCGGGGGAATCGGGGCCGGGAAAAACCCAAAATCCGGCACCGGAATCCCCAAAACATTCCAGGGAGAAATCCAGGGAATTCCGGGGGAATCGGGGCCGGGAGAGCCGGGAATGCGGCCCCAAAACATTCCAGGGAGAAATCCAGGGAATTCCGGGGGAATGGGGGCCGGGAAAAACCCAAAATCCGGCACCGGAATCCCCAAAACATTCCAGGGAGAAATCCAGGGAATTCCGGGGGAATCGGGACCGGGAAAAACCCAAAATCCGGCCCCAAAAAATTCCAGGGAGAAATCCAGGGAATTCCGTGGGAATTTGGGCCGGGGAAAGGCGGGAATGCGGTCCCCAAATCCCCAGGGAATGATGGAAAAGTGCCGGGAATTTGGGGGGGGAAAAGGGGAATTCTGCGAATCCAGCGGGAATTGCGGATTTTCCTGGGATTTTTCTTGGGTTTTCCCAGGATTTTTGGGTAGAATTTGGGGGGATTTGGGGTGGATTTGGATGGATTTTCTTGGATTTTGGGTGATTTTCGGTGGAATTTGGATGGATTTGGGTGGAATTTGGGTGGATCTTGGGGAATTTTGGGTGGATTTTGGGGGATTTTGGGTGGATTTGGGTGGATTTTGGATGGAATTTGGGGGATTTTGGGTGGAATTTGGGGGATTTTGGGGTTACCCTGGTCGAACTGGCGCTGCAGGCTCTCCATCTCCGATTTGTTGCCGCTGACGCGATAAATCCCCTCCGTGCTCAGCCCTGCGGAAAAACGGGAAAAATTCCCGGATTTCACCTTTTCCCGGGAGTTTTTGGGGATTTTTTTGGGGGATTTTTGTTGATTTTTGTGGATTTTTGTTGATTTTTTGGTGGATTTTTTGTTAAAAAACCCTAAAAAAACCCTTAAAAATTCCCCAAAAATTAAAAAAAAAATTCCCAAAATTCCCCAAAATCCCCAAAATTCCCGAAAGTTCCCAGAAATCCCCGGAATTCCCATGGCTGAGCGATGGCCTCGATGTGCTGGATGCAGCACTCCATGAACCCAAAAAACCCCAAAAAATCCTAAAAAAACCCTCAAAAAATTCCCAAAAAATTCCCGAAAATCCCAAAAAATTCCCCAAAAATTCCTGAAAATTCCCAGAAATCCCTGGAATTCCCATCACTAACTGATGGACTCAATGTACTGAATGCAGCGCTCAATGAATCCAAAAAAACCCCAAAAAAAACCCAAAAAAACCCTAAAAAATTCCCAAAAAATTCCCAAAAAATTCCCAAAAATTCCTGAAATTCCCAGAAATCCCGTGACTGACCGATGGCCTCGATGTACTGGATGCAGCACTCCATGAACCCAAAAAAACCCCAAAAAAACCCCTAAAAATAAAAAAAAACTCCTTAAAAAATCCCCAAAAATTTCCAAAAAATTCCCAGAAAATTCCCAAAAAATCCCCAAAATTCCCGAAATTCCCAGAAATCCCGTGACTGACCGATGGCCTCGATGTACTGGATGCAGCGCTCGATGAAGACGGGGATGGGCCGCTCGGGGGTGACCACGCTGGCCAGGGGCACCCCGAAGTAGCTGCTCTCCCACGGCGCCTTGGACAGCGACGGCCGCGCCTTGGCCTTGGGCTTCTGCGGGAAAAACGGGAATTCCGGGAATTCCGGGAAAACCCCGGGAATCCCGGACCTGGGGGGGGAGGGGGAGAGGGGGGAGGGACTGAAAATTCCCGTTTGGAACGGGGAAAATTCCGGTTCTGAGCCCAAAATTCCGGTTTGGAACCCCAAAATTCCGGTTCTGGACCCAAAATTCCGGTTTGGAACCCCAAAATTCCGGTTTGGAACCCCAAAATTCTGGTTCTGAACCCGGAAATTCCAATTCTGAAGCCAAAATTCTGGTTTTGAACCCAAAATTCCGGATCTGAACTGGAAAAATTCTGGGTTTGAACTGGAAATTCCGGTTCCCAGCGAAAGGCACCGACCAGGCCTGGGCCGAACACTGACCACAGGTCACCGAGCACAGCGATGACCACTGAGGTGACCACTGAGGTGACCACTGACCACTGCAGTGACCTCTGGGATGTTCCGCCACTCCTGGAGCTTGACCACCCCAAAATGACCCCTCCAAGACCCTCAGCCTTCATCCCACCTTCATCATCCTCAGCGACACTGACCGGCTCCTGGCCAAACACTGACCACTGGGGTGACCACTGACCACTGTGATGACCGCTGCAATAACTAATGACCACTGCAGTGACCACCAGGATGTCCCAGCCCAGAGTGACCACTCATCCCCACCCTGGTGGGTCTCCTGAGGCTCCTCAGGATGTTCCTCCTGTACTGACCAGGTCCTGGCCAAACACTGACCACTGGGTGACCACTGACCACTGCAATGACCACCAGGATGTCCCACCCCGAAGCCACCCCCAGCCCCACCTTGGTGGGTCTCCTGAGGCTCCTCAGGATGTTCCTCCTGCGCGGATCCTCCCCGTCGGCCGCCTCGAAGGCCATCACCGCGTTGTCCCCTCCCTTGTAGCCCCCGTGGCCCCCGACCTCCTCATCCTTCTTCCTCCCCGG